GGGGCTAGCTGGCAGGCAGCCCCTGCACTGAAGCACCTCGTGCCCCAGCCAGCCCCTCCAGCATCTACAAGTGTGTTGCTGCATGGTAAAAAACTCTGCTAAAGGCTCGTACTTGTATTTACAAGTATGAGCTTGCTGCAGAGTTAATTAGTTTCCTCCTGCCCAGTAGCGCTGCATGTGTAGATAGATGTGAGACTTCTACTGTGGAGCTAATTAGTCATCTTGTGTAGATGTGCCCACACTCTGATTCCACCTGTACAAAACAGCAGCAACAAACAACACACTAGAAAAAAAGAAAAAGAAAAACCATGCTGTTGCCCTGCCTTCTCTGGTAGTTGACAGTTCACTCCCAGGCAATGTAGCAGCTGTCCCGAAGCCAGCTGCTAACAGAGGGGTAATCCAGGATGGTATGTCAGTAAGAGTTGGCTATAGCAGTTGGTTGAAGATATTCCATTGTGCCCACTTTTTTTTTCCTTTAAATGCTTTTTCATTAAGCCTTAGGGAATTATTGTTAATCATAGGAATAACAGATGTCCACAAAGGAAAAAAGAGAAACAAAGCATTTCCAAATAACTTAAAGAAAAGAAATCCTAAACACTAAAACAAATTTGTTACGTTTTCCCTTTAAAAATACTTACAAGAAAAGCAAAAGCATTAATGATTTGTTTTGTGGGCTTAACTGCACAAACACCACTCTACACGTAGATTTTTAAAACAAACAATTGCAGCACAAACAATTTAAAAACAAATGTTGGCGTGCCAGGATCATTAGTACAGACAATGTAGATTAAATCTAAGGCTCCTCATGAACCAGCCAAATATGCCGTGTTTATTTTGATAGAAGAAGGTCTGATGAAAAAAGGCCCGTGCAAAGCTGAGCAGAAGTTTAAAGAAGGCTCAGAATTTATTTCTGACCTCACTGCTGGAAAAAGTCTGGGCCTGTGCAAGTGCTCCTTAACCACATTGAGACCTGGCAAACTTCCACCAGCTTTAGATTGTTAAATCCACTAAGACATTGGCCTCAGCTCACAGCAGGGCTGCAACAACTGCACTCTGAGCTGGCTAAGCCATGCTTTGTCGAAGCAGAAGTCCAAAGCAAAAGAGGAAAGAGAAGTAATAAAATAGGGAAGGAAAAGGACACATGAGGGAAGGAAGAGCAGCAGAAATCTAAGTCTCATGTTCCAGGTGGTGTGCAGGACTTGGAGCTAGCCAAGGAAGTGATGTCACCTGAATCTTGTCTGGTCATGATGTGCCTCTGACAATGGAAACCAGCTGGCGTCATGATGGATTCTGGGATCTAAGGGCCTAATGGGGCGGGGAGGGGAGCCATGATGAGGGAGATCTTTTAATCTACCTGGTTTTCCTGTTGCCAGTGTCTAATAAAGCCCCACAAAGGGACAATGGTGGAACAGCCTGCCCCCTCATTACCTTATTCACCAAGTGGGCCTACCAATGTTAGCAACTTGATCTGTTGCCCTCATGTGTACCAGACATAATCACAGCTCTGTCCTTGGGTAGTATCAGTCATTTTTTTGTTTAGACTAAATCCAATACTAGATTTTTTTCCTGGCTCTTGTACAATTTGTATAACAGGCTCTGTTAGAATTGCATTGCACTGAGCGAAGTGGGAGTGCAGCCCTCTACGCAGTAGTGATAGGCCAGGTAAAGGGACTGGAGGAGGGAGGGGGTTAGCACTGAAAAGATGTCTCATATACAAGGGATATGTGGACAAGCCATGGTATGGTGATCTGTGCACAGGGGCTGACTGGGGCAGGGGAATTTAAGGGAGAGAGGGTGGCAGTCTCTATGCAGGCCCGCTCCCAGTTTGGAGGTAGCACCAAGGGTAGCCTGCAGCACAGAATTCACCCTGAGGCTCTCCCCCAACCTGCCACCGAAATGCCTTTTGGTTGAGCAGCTCTGCAGCCCCATAACAGAAGCACGCCCATAGCTCTGCAGTTTCTCTGCCAGAGGTTCTAGGATCCTTTGTTCAATATCTTCATTAATGATCTGGAAGATGGCATGGAGTGTGTCCTCAGCAAGTTTGCAGCTGACACCAAGATGGGAGGTGTAGTAGTTATGCTGGAGGGTAGGGCAAGGATTCGGAGTGACCTAGACAAATTGGAGGATTAGGCAAAAGAAATCTCATGATGAGATTCAACAGGGACAAGTGCAAAGTCCTGCACATAGGATGGGATAAACCTATGTACTGCTACAGGCTTGGGACCAACTGGTTAACTAGCAGCTTTGCAGAAAAGGACCTGCGGGTTACAGTAGATGGTAAGCTGAATATGAGCTAGCAGTATGCCCTTGTTGCCAAGAAGGCTAACTGAGCTGCATTAATAGAAGCGTTGCCAGCAGATCGAGGGAAGTGACTATTCCACTCTATTCTGCACTGGTGAGGCTACATCTGGAGTACTGTGTCCAGTTTGGGGTCCTCCACCATAGAAAGGATGTGGACAAATTGGAGAGAGTCTTATGGAAGGCAACAAAAATGATTAGGGGGCTGGGACACATGACTTCTGAGGAGAGGATGAGGGAATTGGATTTATTTAGTCTGCAGAAGAGAAGGCTGAGAGGAGATCTGATAGCAGCCTTTAACTACCTGAAGGGTGGTTACAAAGAAGATGAAGCTAGACTGTTCTTAGCGGTGACAGATGACAGAGCAAGGAGCAATGGTCTCAAGTTGCAGCAAGGGAGGTTTAGGTTGGATATTAGGAAAAACTTTCTCACTAGGAGGGTGGTGAAGCACTGAAACAGGTTACCTAGATAAGTGGTAGAATCTCCATTTTTGGAGATTTTTAGGGCTGGGCTAGGCAAAGCCCTGGTTGGAATGATATACTTGGAGATGGTCCTGCTTTGAGCAGGGGGTTGGACTAAATAGACTCCTGAGGTCCCTTCCAACCCTAATTTTCTATGATTTTATGATTCTTTGATCTGACTGGGCTCTGTTCCATTTCAGGGGCAGAGACAATTGAAGGAGACTTTCTGAGAACGGTAAGATCCACCCAGCATTTCTTTCTCTCTTGCTTGTGGACATGATGGCTACTCCTGTGGTGATGACACAGCCTGGGGAGGTTTGGGGGGAAAGGGTGTGCCCAGGGGGCACTGATAACTTGGGCAGCTTTGCCAAGAGCAAAAGAAGGGCTGTTCACACTGCCAACTCTAGGGGGATCTGAGGAACAGGAGTGGGGTGGGGTCATAGTTTCATAGTTTCTAGGGTCGGAAGGGACCTGAGTAGATCATCTAGTCCGACCCCCTGCCATGGCAGGAAAGAGTAGTGGGGTCAAATGACCCCAGCAAAGTGTATATCTAGCCTCCTCTTAAAGACCCTCAGGGTAGGAGCCAGCACCACTTCTCTTGGAAGTTGGTTCCAGATCCTAGCCGCCCTGACCGTGAAGTAGTGCCTCCTGATATCTAGCCTAAATCTACCCTCTGCCAGCTTGTGACCGTTATTCCTGGTCACTCCTGGCAGTGCTCCGTGGAACAGGGACTTCCCCAAAGCCTGCTGATCCCCTCTAACTAGTTTGTAACAGGCCACTAGATCCCCGCTTAGCCTTCTCTTCTGGAGGCTGAACAGGTTCAGGTCCCGTAGCCTCTCCTCATAGGGCCTGCCTTGCTGCCCCCTGATCATGCGAGTGGCCCTCCTCTGGACCCTCTCCATGTT